CCATTGGATGGCATTCAGATCTTGAATCCTGACGATTGCCAATATATGCGTTGCTTCTGACTAATTAGACAGTAAGTCCCAAACAAGTGGAGTTCTTTCCATTTTCCTCCTCTCTAACTTGCTGTCCTACTTGCAAACAAACAAGACCTCACTAGGGTATTCTGATCATCAATAATGAGCCTTCTTCCTTTTCCTGCAACCATTTATTTTTTAGTTCCCTTTTTCAATTACTTTTAGTCAAATCTTCATAGAATCCAAGCTCCCCGTATTTGACTTCTAGTTTCAATCGTTTACGTTATGTAATGATAGGTTGCTTCAGATTTGGTAGGGTCCTAATTTAATTCCACTTATAGTCATTGTACTTTTAGTGAGAGGACAATTTCGGCAATATCGATGAGATTTAGAATTAAGAATTCATATCTTGACGGGAGAGTAAGGCCATATAAGTCCTTTATTTCAGCATGTTTATTGAATATGAAAATTTTGTCCTTTGTAGTTAAGTATATGTCAATAGGTAGGGTTTGAGTTACATCTAGTTGGTCTAGATCTAAAGTCATTAAACTTAGTTAGACCTAAATTCAGATTCAGACTTGCATGGCCGAAAAATGGGTCCGAAAAAGTAAATCTAGACTTCAACTCTATGGGTTTGGGTATCCAATAGGTATTTGTGGGTATTTTTTTGAACATACAGTAAAGAACAAAAAGAAAAATATTTTAAAAATATATAAAGTTGAAAAATAATATAAATCTAATTTTTGTTTTCAAATAATAAAATTAACATTCCAAAAGTTGAATGCTATATTGTGAACTCAAATAAAGAACTATTATAAACTACTATTTATTTTCAAAATTTCATCTGCATCCGCGTCCAATCCTTCATTTGTTTGCCTTAACTTTTATCCTTTTCCTAAAAAAGTTTGTACCCGTCGCAATGGGAAGAAGAGGGGAAGGATAGAGGAGGCAATGGAGTATTTTTTTTTTCTTTTTTTTGGATGGTGGTACACTATTTTGAATGTTTTATAGAATTTTTGAATATTTTTAAGTGTTTTAACAATTTACTGTAGTCTTATAGATCGTGATTGGAAAAAAAAATGTCCAGGTGCCAAATAAAGCCCTTAATTGTTAATATCTCCTGACCTCATTCAAAACTTCTTCTGACATGTTTGAATGTTTTAGATAGTTTAAAAATGCTTTTAAGGTTTTAATTGGTATAATTATTGTTACTCCTGTTGAACTTGATTTTACACCACAGTTTTTCATCCTAAGTTTACAAGCTTCACACCCTTTAACTTCACATGAATTAAATGGTTCAATTATGGTACAAAACAAAAAAAAAAATTTCTCCCAACAAGCTGTGAGGGTGTCTATAATGGTGAGAACAGTCACATATTAGTCCACTCCATCCTGCAATTCTTCCAATTCTGCTTCAAATGGACTGCACTTGGCTGCTTCCTAAACACCAATAAAATTTATATATGTACACACACACACACACTAGCCTTGACCCCGCATCAAGTAAGCATTGAACATAAGAGGCATCACTTCGAAGGGTAAATGTTTATGTGTTTACGTATTCACATACTGTTAACCATAGAACTTAACTTCAAATGAAGAATTAAAACTTGGTTCAACACTTGCATAATCCTTAAATAGATGGAAGAGCAAGTATCATAAATCGGCACTGGCACCCTTTGACCAAAAGAATTGCATTTTAAGTTTAATTCAAAGATTCTCCTCTGATCCAGTGATGTAGGATTGAAGATAGAAAATATTATTCAGTCTGTTCAGTAATTCCATCCTAAAATGTCTTGCTTCCTGTCAACAAATGAGAAGGATATAGTATAGCATCAATTGTGGCTAAAATTTAGTAGCCACAGGCAGTTTAAGATAATCAAGTCATCATTGACAACTAAAATCAATCAAATTGTAGACAAGCCGCAAGATGGGTAGAAAACTAGTAAACATCAACCGAGAAAACTTTACAATCAATTAACTGGATTTCCCTGACGTACCTTTTTTGTGCCATCTAAATTTTTCACAGAGGAAAAAAAACTAAATAACTTAGTTATTTTCTCTTTGTTCCCTAACTGCTGCATTGTAATGAGGATGATGGAATGCCTAAAGTCAATCATCATGTATGGGCCAACGCTCCACATACCAGTGTACAAGATCTTAAGCAAAGTGCTAAAGGAAAATGCATTGGTATACTCTATTAAGTCAGAGAATAATGCGAGATATGGGAAATTTCAATAGCCTCCAGGATCTTGCGGTTGTTGTCTTCAGAAATGCTGGAGCTGCATGTTAAAGGTCAAAGATTGAATAAAACCCCAACACATACAACTTAAACAAATTAGAACAAATAGAAAAGGTATAGCCAACAATAATAGTATCTTGAAGAAAACATAAACAGCTGCAGTATGTTGTTAATGTAATCTGAAAAATTCACTTGAATAAGCAAAGATTCCCCATTATCAGGTACTAGGTCATTCTTGAGCATGTCTACAAGTTTGGCTTTGCCAATATCAGTCAAACCCATTAAGAGAAGAGCTCGAGCAGGCTTAGAATGAAGGCTTGATGACAAATGCATGGATCTCATAACAGCATCAGCTACTTGATTGAGGCCTCTCTCTAGCTATATTGCTCCAAGATTCTGAACATAAACCCTTCTGTTTAGTTTAGCTTGATATTCCCTTAAAATAATGCATAAGAGACTCAGATCCTATATTAACAAGGCTAACTAATATGACGATTATAGCTAACCATAGAAATGCATACCTGTACTAATTTACACACTGAGAGAAGCCATCTAGACTGGAGTAGTGTATTGTAAATCAATAGAACTTTTAAAGCCTCGTGCTTGTTATGCACTTGAATTGGCAAATTGTAATCATGAAAGGCATTCAACAAGCAAGAGAGCATACTTCTCAGTTGGAAAATCCTGTCAACTAAAGTTTTATACCTCAAGTAAATAACTCTCAATCTCTTAGATGACACCTTGTGATTTTTCGGCAACCAATCTTCAAATAAGTTCATTTTCTCCGATTTAGAAGATAACTCATATGTTGCTACAAAGGTATCAATAGAATTGATGGAGTGTTTATTACCAAAATCTTGATCAGTGGAAGGAAGAAGAGGAACCACTTTTTCATCCAACTTTTTCTTGAATGCTTTTCCATCTGCAACCTAATAAAGGCCAAAAACTTCAATGCTCGCAATTTGCATTGCAACGATATGGATAAAGGCAGAAAAAATGGCATACAATAAATGGATTTTCCAAATTCCGGTCTACTAGTTGAAAGAAACAAAACTCCAGCTAATCATATAAAAAATTCATATTCCATTTTATGGAACTTTAGTAGAATATAAAACCATTTGATTCTTCCTATTCCACTCAACTCCATTCTAGAAAATGTCTACATCTTTAATAATATTTTTTTTTATGTTGACAATGCTCACTACAATAATGAATCACATTAACAACTGCCCTGCCAAAAAGGTGGTTGATTGAAACCCTAAATTCATTTTTTATTTTGGGACTATTTTTCGAATAATCAATTGTTACTATTCTAATTACAGGACAAAGTCCCAAGGAATGCCTCGAAAAACATTGAGGAGTAAAGTCCACCTGACTAAAGTTGATAGTTGATTCGCCAATTCCAAAAGTCGCTCTTTTTATGCGCCTAATTTATGAGATTGTTCACTTATTTGCAGTGTGCCAGATGAGGCCTAGATGTATGTCGATCCAGAAACAGGGGAGTTTCGAGGCCACAATGATCGTTAACTCTGCCGGTATTTGCTTCTCACCATCATCAAGCTTTTTTCCACAACCTGCAGAAATCCCGCATTTTCCATCTTTCTTTTTGTTCTGCTTCTTCTCGTTGGTCAATTATCAGAGAATCTAAGATAGTCAGGCAGTTAGTTCACTTTAGATCTTGCAGATACCACAAAATTTCTGTTGATAGCCGGCACATTCCACATATCTTCTCTTCTTTTATTGGTTTCTTTTCTTTTTTTTTTTGATTTTTTTCTAACCATTTTCGAAAGAAGAAGAGAGATATAAGGAGAAAGAAAAGGTGTCAAAAGGTGCAATTGAGGGCAGCTGTTTGAGGGTCAGAAGAAGATAGGGAAGAAAAAAACATCTTTAATAATATTAAACTTGAATAAAGTCCGTTCAAACTTCCTATCAATTTCAAAGTGATTCATTCAAACCCTACTTATCCTCTCCATCCCACCAAGCCCCCATTCACACCCTAATACTATTTAGAAGTCAATAATACTATTATATGCATCTCACACTAGGCTTAACAATATCAGGAATCAAAAGTGTTCAAACAAGAAGAGGAATCAAATTAAACAAAAATGAAATCTTCTATTCCAATTGTGTTCAGATATTTTAAAGATTTTCAACTTAAAAGTTATTTTTACAAGATAGGAAAGGAGAATATTGTTTGACCAAAACTAAAAGAACTGCACAAGCAAAGTTCCAAACACCCAAATGTAAAGTGCATAACTAGAATCTCATAGAAAAAAGAAAAAGAATATAAACACCAATATATTAGAAGAAGCAGGGGAATTAAGCACTGATTCACTACATATTTTCCTATAGCAACCAGAACAAGTTTAGAAGGAAACAATATTAGGCCATGTTCAGGGAGTTCTCGAGCCTTTTGCCTCAAAATTAGTCTAGAAACAACTGTAACACCTCATAATGCATCAAAGACAATAACATCATCTAGAGAATCTAACAAGTGCCTTGCAAAAGAAAAAAATTCGCCTGAAATTATGTCAAAATGTCTGTCATTAGTTCATAAATCAAATAATCACAAACAACCACAGGAGATACAGCATATAGATCAAACACGAGAACAAGAAGAGAAAAATTGTTTTCCCTGCTAATTTTCTGTGGTATGTTGGGAGCGAAACCTTCTTTCTAAAGATTTGCACAGGTAAAATCAAACATATAAGGAATACACTTCTCCTTTTTAGAAGAAATTTACCTCCTAGAGAACTTGCTCTCGACCTCTTGCTTTTAATGTATGGTCGTGAATTGGATATGATGGAGGAACATTAGACTGAAGCTGCTCAGAATCGATATTTGGTGTCATGATTATGGTTGAGTGACTAAGGTTCACATGATGACCATCTTTATCGCTTAATCTTCCATTAATGATATTTAGAAGAAGAGCATCAACAATAGATTGATAGGCACTTTCAATTTTGTCGAGCAGAATAAGACTATGCAGCTTCTCCCTTATGGCCTCAGCAAGCCATAGAAAGCCTACATCTAGAATCTCGTCCTTTGACCTAGTATATTATCAGAGTTAAAACAAAGTTAATGGTCATAGCACAGCGAGACATAGCAATACTCCAGGCAACAACGGATATACCTAGAGCTCTTTCCAATAGATTGCACCTCCACATACTCTAATACGTCAACTTAAATCAACCTGCTAACATCACTGAAAAATACCTCGATAATGCATTTTGGTTACTTTTATCTTACCAACACCAGAAGGGGCCAAAAAGAGCAATGAGACTTAAGGGCAGTTACGCAAGCATGTAGGGTCAAGAGGGAGCCTTTCGCGACTAAAAAATGATCTCACAATAGCATCAAGGGTAGGGTCCTGACCACCGATCCTCCCAAGCAATTTTGCTTCCAAGTGTGTGATTTGCACCGAACCAAAAGCAAGCAGCGCAGGTATAGGGATATCAGTAGATTGACTCACCACCTACAGATGTCATAACAAGATAGAGACATAAATGATGTTTTAGTACCGCACAAAGAATGCAAATCATGCAATGCCCATGAAAGACAACTTCATGGACAAATATGTCTTAACCAATCAAAACAAAAAGAGGAAAGATAGCTAGAGGAGGAGTGCGTCTACAATATGATCCAGACGTACAGTCATATATTCATCAGCCAAGTTAGTAGGAAGAGCTTACTCTATCCTAGTAGCAAGGGCATCCAACTCCTGGATTGCCTGGTAGGGCACACAGAAATCTTCTTCGTTTAGGTTCACCGAAGAGGAACAGGCAGGTAAAACAATAAAACGCTTTTAGAATAATTCCATGGCTAGAGATCCTGATTGAGATTGTTTCTTCTCGGCTTCAAGCAAAGCAAGCTTCTACCTATTGATGTTTTGGCGTGTTCCAAGCTGACTTGAGCAAGCCATGGGTCACTGGGGTCCTCCCTAAGCAATTCAGAATGCTCAAACAAACAATATGAGGCAATACATTCCATCTCATCGAACCTCTTCTCATCAGCGCCACATTTTCTTTCATTGACATGAAAAAAATTATATTACTTTATTTTCATTATATGAAATACCTTTTGTTTTTTGAAAAAAAGTACGAAATCATTTACGCGAGAAAAGCATATAGGCTCATAATAACCTAATCTTTCTCTCTCTCTACAAACTAACTATTCTATCTTATTATTTTGCTATAAATAAACTAATGCTTTATGGTTCATTTTGCTATTTGTAAACAAACTTGCTAATGCGTTCTCGAATAATATTCTCACTTTAAGTGGGACTAAGTTGGAATTTTTTATCACTTTAAAAAAAAAATCTACCAGTAGTACACCGCAAATCAATCGTCCATTTTGTCAAGTTTAGAATTTTTGAAAGATTAATTTAACATGCACACAACAATATATTTCAACGGTAAATATAATAAATTAGACCTCTTAAACTCCAATTCAACAAGTTTCAAAGTCTCCTACCCCCAATATCGAAAATAAGTACGTGTGCGACCTATTGACGGTCTATGTTTTGATTTTGCAACCCACCAATGGTCTATTTTTGGGTATAAAATGATTAATTAACCCTATAATTGTAAATTGATTAACTATTATTCTATCACGTAATGTTAATTTGAAAATTTCTTATTTACATATTATATCTTTGTTTTGGTGGGATTGCAAGCACATAAGCTTGTAAGACCAAAAGATTAGGTAATGTTATTTTAGTTGCTCTATAAGAAACATTTGCACCTTCATTTTCTTTTTTTCTTTTTCATAAATGAGCTTTTTCTAGCTTATTACTTGTCCTTTTAACATAAGGCCTGTTTGTAAAACAAGTTTTTGGTCAAATTTATCTGTTACAAATTTTTTAACAATTTTAACTACAGTAATCTCAAAAAACTTTTTAAAGTTTTTAAATTGTACATTTCAAAATATCCAAAAATTTACACATTTCAAAAATTTCATCTACAACTTCTACAGTAAGATACAATAAAATTTTAGATAAATACCTAAAAAATTCATTTGCTAAACAAGATAATAAGCATAGTTTAAACTTTCATCTATGAAACTCATTAGAGAATATGTTATGTATATAATTTTAAACCCATCATCACAACAAATAGTCAACTACAAAGACTTTAAGCACTAAATTAAAAAATTATAAAAATTTGAGGCTAATATGCAACTCAAGAGCAGCGATACTCTACTAGTAATATTTATTAGCAGTACTGAGCCAAATTTTCAAATAGAGCAAGCTTTCCATTTCGATTTCGCGCAGTTGGGGTCTAAACAAGTGCTCTATTCGCTCTCTTCTTCAATTCTAGTGTACCGATCAAACACACAATTATCCAATCTCCTCTTCCAACTCGAATATCTAACTTTTGTCTATCAAGTTACTTTTATGTACCTCAAAATTGTAGTTTTTTAGGTAAAGTTGGATTCTTTTTAATGATTGAAGCTAAAGTTTGAATTTTTTTCTCTTGTTCACCCTTCTTGATGGAGAATCTCATGAACTTACCATCCATCTATGACGACGAGTTTGAAGAAGTCACCTTTAGTGCTTTTAGAACATTATTTGGTAGCCATGATGACATGTCATTGAAGGCAAAAACAAATCTTTATTATTTTCCATTAGTAATGGTCAAAAATCAGGGAATGTGTGCAATATATCAGATTGAGTACGAATATGGTGATTTTGTGGTTTTGTCGCTCCCCTATTTACATCACTTGCACAAATATTATTGCGATAGTTCACTTCCTATCTTGGGCATGCGTTGTCACTACTGTAGGAAACACATTGAGAAGTGATTCCTAAATTCCCTCCCCTCGTCATCAGTGCCGCTAAGTAGTTTTTAGCAGTGATTCCAAACTCTCATTCGTCACAATGTTTTGCACTGATAAGAAGCACGATGAGAATGAATATGAAGATATTGGTATCAATAGTAGCAGTAATGATGACAACAACGAGAACCATGAGCATTTTTATGATATTGAGGACTTACTTACTGCTGCTATTGAGGGAGAAGTTGAGGAGTAAGAGCACTTGGAAATAGTAGCTACTGAGAATGAGGAAATTATGCAAGCTAGCCAAGAGGGTGCTCAATTTTAACCCATAATAGTAAACCCCATGGTTTATGGCTAATGTATGGTTGCTTTTGAACTTGAGAATCACGTCATAAACACTCGTCGAGTACGGCCATGATTTTCATAATAGCAACCTTTGTTGGTCGATCGTACAAAATCTAAGAAAGTGCTTAAGTTGTGGGGATTCGATCGCTAATCATAACTATACAGTATATGATTATGATCGAGGTCTCCCATGTGTTACAGGTTGGCTAAAATCCCTATTAGCATAATGCTCGTACGGCATAGCAAGTTTCTAGATTTAATCTACAAATTAAATGATTGTTAATTTAGTCTAATTCTCAAGTGCGCGATTATATAGAAGCAAAAGATAAATAAACATTTAGAGGCTAAAGAAAAGTTTTATATTGCACTCAAAGACTTACACAATGTTTTACAAATGAGAGAGGCTTGTCCTATTTATAGACAAGTCAAGAAATATTAACTAATTTTAGAAACTTCTATACACTAAGGGGCTACTTATTTAAAGGGTTTGGGAATCATGAAATGCAATAAATCTCGTATTTATTGCTTGGGTTAAACCTATTGAAATGCACTTTTTGGAATCATTTCTAAAAAAATGGACTTCTCTCATTCCAGAACAAATTGGGGGGTTTTGGACAAAATCCTCAAACTATTCCTTCACAACATTTATGGACAGACCTACCCATCACATACAATTAATGCCTCTGCTCTCTCTCTCTCTCTCTATCATACGCCCCTCACTCTGTTGTTCTTTTTCATCAGTTTTTCTATCATCCTATATAATCTTCATCTCTTATCCAAAATCTCTTTAAAAAAAGATTTAAAGTATATCTAAATGGGTTAACAGTGGACAAATATCTTGAGTAGACAAATTGTTCAACAAGATCTTCAAGAGAAAGATCTCCAAGAAAAATTGAAAAAGAAAACCCTAAACCCAAATTCAAGGGTTCTAAGGTATGTATTCTCTCAAATTTCTCCTATAATTAAAACCAATAATAATAATATATAAGTTTTTAGTCATTTCTTAGTTGCTCAGAAATGAACTTGTTTACATCTTTCAATGTTCTTGGAGGGGACAAAGAATGATATTTACAGGAAAATCATAGTATTGGTTCCTTTTTTTTTTCTATAGGCTTATTGGAATGCTTCTTTCTCCGATTTTTTAGTCCTCTTACTCTAGGAATTTCTCACAAACTTTTCTGCTTCATGGTTTTCCCCTTGTTTCTGGCAAGTTTAATGTCCAATTCTATGTCTGATTCATCAGTATTAGTCTTAAGTTGTTTTAAGATATGTTAATAGATACTTTCATATGACATTAAAACTTGTGAATTGCTCGATCCTTTTATCCCCTGGTCAACCAGTGTGAATTTGCTTGGGTTGATCAGAAATTGGTAAAGGATTTGTTGAATCCGCACACGTTCCAAAATCATCACCTCCTACTGAACACCTTGCTACATTATAGTAATTTTTAACATAATAATTAAGATTGCTTTGCTGACTTTCTGCTTTTTAAGAAGACCTCAAAATCAAATGCATATGTGGTCAGTAAGACAAAAAATGCTTACACAGAATATGGAAAATGGTTGTGGTCTGGTTCTTGAACCTTAAATGCTTACGCTATCTATGTAGACTATTTGATCATTGTCATTTATTTCTGAAGCCACTATCTTTTGAATCTTTTTAGAGCAATTAGTTCTCTTTGAAGCATTATGTCTTTGAATAATATTCATTATTCAATAATTGTCATTATTGAAGCATATGTTAGACTAGTTCTCTTTACTTTAATGTGCAAAGAAACAATCACCTCCCTGCAAATATGTAAAAAAAATGAAATCTTCATTAACAATAAGCTACGGGTGATCTTGATGCATCATTGCAACTTATCACCAGTAAATTTGAAGATTTCGTGGAGGGAATTCAAGTTAGTTTCATAACTATTGCAACAACCATATCAAATGAGGATAAACGTGAGCAATTGGTCTTCGATAGAAGAGATCAAGTTATTGCTAAGTTATTGAAACTTCTTTTATCAAGTGGAGATGTAATGAATACAACCAACATACTTTCGGAGCAGATTTTCAAGTTTCATGTGTTATACAATCTTCCTACAGAAATGAGACGACAATATGTAATTAACCTCCTTTATCCTCCATCTACTCACTGAAGTAAAAATTATTTATAGTTGGAAAGTGATGATTTGGTGACAATTTCTTTTTGTTATGGTGGTTGTTAGATGGTTATATGATTAGTCTTTTGGAGATTGTGGATATTGAGTGGCACTCTTGACTGGTTTAGACCATTGGTTTGTATTTTGTATGATTAGATTTTTTCATTTGAGTCTCCTTCTTTTGTTTATATATGTAAGGAGAGATCTTCTATTTCATATCATTGTCTAATGTAGAAACCACAAACGACTTGTTAATACAACTACTATATTTATTTTTTGGTGTTAATTTTTCTTATGGTTTATGATTTTTTTAACTTTTATCAAAAATCAACTAACTATTGTAGTTACAATTATGGAGATGTTAATTTGTTGTATGTGTATTTTTTATTTTATAATAATTTTTATATCAAGGATAAATTTGAAATTTAATTGCATTTAATTCTGAAACACTCATCAAACCAAACATCAGGAATTGGAATGATGCTAATTCCAGTGTGTGAACCAAGCTAAGATATTGGAATGAAAAGTTTAATTCCAAAACCAGAGTCCATGATTTCATTTCTATTTTCGATTCCAATCTGTGAAACGAGCACCCCCTAACTCTTTACACTTAGTCTTTAGAACATTTTTACACAAAACAAGTCTCTTATATACAAGTTCTAGACTATTTTTCAAGATTTTTAAATAGTTTAGAACACTTCAAAAGTTTATAAAACTTGTT